ACACACACACATATATATCCTTATATATATACACACAGATATATATTATATATGTATATGTGTGTGTGTGTATATATATATATATATATATATATATATATATATATATAACATTTTTAAAGAAGAAGTCATATGGGAATAAAATGAAATTGAGCCTCTAGTTTCTGATCTGGCATTTGAAGAGCCTAGAAGTTAACAGTTTATCTTAACAAATAAAATACTGAACAAACTGAAAATCAACAATTCTTTTTAGATTTGACAGATAAGTGAAGTTATAGGGCAAACCACTGACCCAAAAATTGGTGAGATAAATAGGCAGATACAGAGAATCACAACTTACTGGAGCAGAATTCCATGAGCAGAAACCTCCATTGGAACCAATACCAAGACAGAAAAACCTAAATTGTCATTGATGAATTACTGGAGGCTCAGTGTAGACAAGTCTGAAAGTTAGAAATTCTAGAGGGCACAATCATGGAGGGGGTGACACTTTTGTGAGTTTTACTCCTAGAGGTTGTATCAGATTCTCACTGTAAGTATTGGAGAAAAACCCCTTCAGGCTCATGGCAGGAAGAGTGGAAAAGTAACCGTTTTTAAGAAGACTAGAACATTCTGTTCTTAAGAAAGCCTGTTCTTAAGAACAAATATTTTACTAGAGCCTAACCTATTGGGATTTTATTAGGACATAACCAAATACAGCCCCCTTTAGCGATCCTCTCTCACTTAAGGTAGAGGAAAAATTTATAAGCACTTGTAAAGTTCACAGGCCACAGCAAAGATTCGCTAAAAGACTTAGACCTCATCATAGGACTATAGGATGCTTTACGTTCTTCCTAACCTTAACACTACATCACCAAATGCCTAGTTATTTTAGTTCTTTTTACCCAGTACATCCTGTTGAACTTTTAGTAAAAAATGACAAGGCATAGCAAAAGGTAAAAAACAAAAACAAAAACAAAAACCCCACAATTTGAAGAGACAGAGCAAGCTTCAGAACTACATTCATACATGACAGGGATGTTAGAACTTTCAGACCGGGAATTGGAAAGAACCATGATTAATATGCTAAGGGCGCTAGTGGAAAAAATAGACAACATGCAAGAACATAATGGTAATGTAAGCAGAGGCATGAACATTCTAAGAAAGGATCAAAAATAAATGCTAGCGATCAAAATCGGTAACTGAAATGAAGAATGCTTTTGATGGTCTCATTAGTAGACTGGACATGGCTATGGAAAGAATTTCTGAACTTAAGGATATGTCAATAGAAACTTCCAAAACTGGAAAACAAAAAACAAAAATATTGATTAAAAATGGAACATAATATACAAAACTATGAGATAAATATAACAGGTGTAACATATGTCCAATGGGATACTACCATAAAGAAAAAAGGGAAACTAGAACCGAAGAAACATTCAAAGCGATAATTACTGAGAATTTTCCCTAAATTACCAAACCACAGATCCACGAAGCTTGGAGGACACCAAGCAGGACAAATGTAAAACAAACAATCAAAAACTACACCTAGGCATATCATATTCAAACTGCAAAAATCAATGATAAAGAAAAAGTCTTGAAAGAAGTCAAAGGAGAAAAACAAATACTTACAGAGAAGCAATGATAAAAATTAAATCTGACTTTTCCTCAGAAATCATGCAACCAAGAAGGCAATAAAATGAAATATTTGAAGTGCTGAGAGGAAAAAACAAACAATACCAACCCAGAATTCTGTACTCAGTGAAATTACTCTTCGAATGTGAAAGAGAAATAAAGACTTTTTCAGGAAAAAAAAAAAAAAAAAAAAAAAAAATGGAAGGAATTTGTTGCCAGTAGAACTGCCTTGCAAGAAATGTTGAAAAGTTCTTCAGATACAAGGGAAACCATACAGGTCCATGCAGAGCTACATAAAGAAAGAAAAATCATTAGAGAAAGAATATTGAAGGTAAAGTACACTGAAAATACAAAAAGAACAACATAACAAATTTGTGGGATGCAGATAAAGTGATGTTGAGAGCAAAATTTATTATAGCGTATATATTAGAAAATAGAAAACTCTCAAATCAATAATGTAAACCCCCACCTTAAGAAACTAGAAAAAAAAAAAAGCTGGACATGGTGACTGGTCAGCGCTTATAGTTCCAACTACTAAGGAAGCTGAAGTGGGAGACTTGCTTGGGCCCAGGAGTGCAAGGTTACAGTGAACTATTATCACATTTCTGTGACAGAGTGAGATCCTGTCTTTTAAAAAAATAAGATAGTGAAAAAGGTAGAAACTAGAAAAGGATGACCAAAATAAACACAAAGCAAACAGAAGGAAGGAAATAACAAAGGTATGAGCAAAAATCAATGAAACTGAAAAAAATAAAACACTTAACTTTAGCTTCCCCAAAATTAAACACTTAGGTATAAATTTAATGAAATAATAGGCACACAAGATCTGCATGAAGAAATCTACAAAACTCTGATAAAAGAAATCAAAGATCTAAATAAATGGAGAGATATTCCACGGACATGTATAGAACAACTCAAGTATACCAAGATTTCAGTTCTTTTCAACTTGATCTAGATTCAATGCAACCTCAATCAAAACCCCAGAAGTTACTTTTCTTCTATGAATTGTGCTTTTTAATGCCATTTCTAAGAATTCTTCACCAGTCTTGAAGCCCCAAAGATTCTCTTCTCAAAGTTTTAAAGTTTTGTTTTTTATATTTAAATCGATGATCCATTTTGAGTTCATTTTTGTGTAAGGTGCGAGATTTAGGACAAGGTTCATTTTTGTTTTTCTATGAATATCCAATTGCTCCAGCGTTGTTCCTTGAAAAAACTACCCTTCCCTTATTAAATTCCTTTTGCACCTTTGTCGAAAGTCAGCTAAGTTGGTCATACTTGTGTAAGGCTATTTCTGGATTCTTTATTCTGTTCCAGTGATCTATGGCTAGCCCTCTGCCAATACCACACATTCTTGATTACTGTAATTATATAAGAAGTCTTGAAATTAGGTAGCTATATTCCTTCCACTTTATTCTTTTTTATTCAATGCTGTTTTAGCCATACTCACTCACTTTCTTTCCATATGAATTTTAGAATTATCTCATATGTATCTACAAAAATCTTGCTGGAATTTGATAAAAATTATGTTAAACTGTGTTTAATATAATGTGATCATAGCTCACTGCAGCCTTGATCCTCCCACCTCAGCCTCCCAAGTATACGCAACTACAGGCACTCACCAGCCACCAGGCCCATGTTAAACTGTGTTTAACAATTAGATGTTTGTCAAGTTTACCAATCTTTTCAATGAACCCATTTTTTTATTATTTAAAATTAATATCCTTTATTTTTTGAACAGTGTTAAGTTTGTGCTGCAAAAGGCCAATAGGACAGAAATTTAAGCTACAGACTGGGAGTAAATGTTTGCAAACCACAAATATGACATAGAACTCATATAGAGAATATGTAAAGAGCTTCTCAAACTTCAACACTAAAGAGACACAAGCACTTCAATTAGAAAATGAAGAGCCATTTCACTGAAAAGGATAGCAAATACAGAGATGATAAATAACCACATGGAAAGATGATCAACATTAAGAACTTGTTGACCTGTTACTACACACACCTATGAGAACAGATAAAAATTTTTAGAAAATATTGACAATACTAAATGCTGGCAAGAATGTTAAGAAACTGGATCTTTCATTCATTGCTGATAAGAATATAAAATGGCAGAATTTCTCTGGAAAACAATTTGACAGTTTCTTATAAAATTTAACATGTAACCATATGATCTGTAATTTTCATCCTTGTGCATTTATCCTAGAAAAATAGAAACTCTACCCAAAACCTGTAAATTACCATTCAAAATGGCTTTATATGTAATAGGCAAAATATTTGAAACAACATAAGTGTCCTTCAACAAGGAAATGGTTAAACAAACAGGGGTACATACATATCACGGAATACTGCTTAGCAAGAAAAAGAATTGGGCTCAATATACACAACTTAAATGACTCTCCAGATAATTATGCTGAATTGAAAAAGCTTATTTCAAAAGGTCACATGCTGCATGATTCAATTTATATGATATTCTTGAAAAAGCACAATTATAGAGACAGAAAACAGATTAGGGATTGTGGGAAGGAGACGAAGAGGAATGGTGGGATAAAGAGACATAGAAATATACACACACATTGTACAGTATCAATTTCCTGTTTTTGAAATTTTGCTATAATTATGTAAGATGGAAGCTGGAGAAGATGGAGTGAAGAATAAACAATATTTATCTTTGAAACTTCCCATGATTTTAAAATTATTTCAATACAGAATGTCTTAAAACTTGGTTGTAAATTCAGTAAAATAAAACTTTACAATGGTTGAAATACCAGGGTAATAATATGGAACCAAATAAAATTAACAGAGGTCACATTTTCACATAGGAAGAACAAGACTGGAAATAGCACATGAATTATAGTTATAATTATGATGTTTCAGTTTGAAAAAGAACCAGTTTATTCTTCTTTTGGAAGATTTGGTGAATTGTTTTCTTGAGAAACAAAAAAATGAAAAAAAGAAAAGAAAAAGAAAAAAGTCATTTTCAATCGACTGCATATTGCTTAAAAGTCTGAATATTTAGATAAATATCTTCTTTCTGCTAATAAATATTTTAAAATAAAAGCCATAACTATTAACATTTTGAGGCGATTGACATGCTAACCATCATGATTCTACCATTATAAAATGTGTACATTTATTGAAACCTCACACTGTCACACTGTACCCCATAACCATGTACACTTATTATGTGTCAATTATAAATAGTTATAAAAAGACAAAACATAATTATTTTTATCTTAGCATATTGACATAAAATTTTTATCTTTCTATATACCCATTTATTCCTTTAAATCATATTTTATGCAGTATTTATTCATTATTTTACTGGGCATAACTGATAAGTTTTCTACATTTACAAAAATTTCTCCTATATTTTTCTTATAAAGACTTGGATTGGGAATCGAAGAAGGAAATATCGTTTAATGGGGATTGAAGTTCCGCCTCCAAGAGGAGGCCCTGCTGATTTCTCTGAGCAGCCTGAGTCTGGTTCCTTATCTGCACTCACACCAGGAGAGGAAGCTGGGCCTGAAGTAGGAGAGGATAATGACAGAAATGATGAAGTATCCATCTGCTTGTCTGAAGGAAGCTCTCAAGGTACTTTATATGCTGAATCTCCTAATAATAGCCTTTGTAAATTTGATGCATTTTTTACTTGCTTTTCAGCTCACTGCACTTCAAGTCTTGAGTCTTCAAAACATTTGGCCAAAGAATATATTTATTTTTAGTGCCTCCACCTAAACAGTCTCCCACATCATCATCACAAGGAACATTCATCTACAACAGTAATAATCTCCCACATTTATAAATATTGCCCATTACAATTCATACATTATGATTAAGTAAATAATTTTTAGTTTTTTTGGAATTCTAGTCAGTTTAGGTCAGAATATTATAAACACACAGTAATGAAAGAGTATGGTATAATGTGACAAATACCAGGCTAGTAGTCAGGAAATCTGGATGCAACTCCTAGCTTTTCATGTGACATTTCATAAGACTTTCATGCAAAGTATTTAATTACTTGGTCTTTAGTTTCCTCATGTGCCAAAAAGAATTAAACTGGATCATCGTTATGATACCTCTCAATATTTCTCTAAATGATAATTCTAATAATATCATGTAATTGTACTATCTGTCCATTTGTCTTCAAGCATAGATATGATTCTCTTCTGACACATTTTTTATTAACACACTTATTGAGATTAAATTTACACATCATAAAATTCATCCATTGTAAGACCAGGTGAGGTGACTAATGCCTGTTGTCCCAGCACTTTGTGGACTGATGTGGAATGATTGCTTGAGCTCAGGAGTTCGAGATCAGCCAGGGCAACATAATGATAACTCATCTCTACAAAAAGTTTTTTTTAACATACTAGCTACAGTCTCAGTTACTCAGGAGTCTAAGGTGAGAGGATCACTTGAGCCCTGGAGTTTAATTAAGGCTGCAGTGAGCTCAAGTGACTGTGCCACTGTACTCCAACCTGGTGACAGAGTGACACCCTGTCTCAAAAGAAAATCATTCATTTTAAATATAGAATTCAATGATATTTAATGAATTTTATACAGTTGTACAACCATTACCATCAATGAAATCTGAATTTATGTCATTTTCATCACTCCAGTAATTCCCTTGAACCCATTTGCAGTCACGCTCTCTTCCCACTCTCAACCTCAGGAAGCCACTGATCTGCTTCATGGCTATATAAATTGGCCTTTTCTGGGCAGTTTCTATAAATTGAATCATACAATATATAGGTTTTTGAATCTATGACTGAGAAACAGAGGTTCATGCCTTTTATCATTTTGCTTTTGATTTTATTGAGCTCTGTTTAGAATAATTACAATCTATTTTTCAGTTTATTGTTTGCCTTTTGTTTATGGTATTTTCTGATTTCAGATTTTCTTTTGTAATTGTTAAGTTTTCAAATCTACCAATACTTATTTTGGGTCATGATTACAGTCTTTCCTTGTACTATAATTATGTGAATATACCCCTACATTTGCCTCTAGCATCCTTATAGTTTAATTTGTACAACTTGATATTTATTTCACCTAGAATTCATTTTGCTTCAAGACGTGTTAATACATCTAATTTTATTTTTCCAAATGGTTAACTAATGTTCCCTACACCATTTGTTGAATAACTCATCTTTTTCCAGTGAGTTGAAATGTAGATTTTTATCAAATACACACACACAGATGCATATATATACACACTCTCTCTCTCTCTCTCTCTCTCTCACACACACACACACACACACACACACACACACATACACACATGCAGACATACACGTATACACATGTGGGTCAAATTTGAGACTTCTTATTGTTACACTGATCTCATGGCTTACAACTGTGGCTTTATAAAAATGTCTTAATATCTGGTAGGGCCCTCATTCTTCTTTGTTCTTATGGTATGTTGATTCTTTAGAATTGTTCAGTCATAAATTTTGTACTGTTTAAGCATACCTTTTCCCAATCTCCTTTCCCAAAATCCATGAAAGATTTTTCTTGGCATTGCATTAAATTTATAGAATATTGTAGGAAGATGAATTCAGTTTTGCACGTATTCAATTTTAGCTAATGGTTGAACATGCATGTGGAGCTGTCCACAGATCTTTGGATAATATGAGTCTGAAACTCAGATGAGGGCTTAAGACAGAAGAAGAAATACAAAATTCACCCACATTGAGGCAAAAAATATCTAGTCATGAAAATTGAAGATTTAGTTAAGTGAGAAAATGAAAAACAAGAAAGGACAAGGGACAAAGACTGCGCATTGATAAATATCCAGATTTGGACATTGGAGGAGAAAAGGGAGCCATTCAAATAACATGTAGAAACAGAAGCAGCAGAACATTATGGTTTTCCTAAAACCAAAAAACGAATCAGGTGCAGAGGCATGCCTGTAGTCTCAGCTACTTGAAAAGCTGAGGTGAAAGGATCCCTTGAGGTTAAGAGTTTGAAGCTGCAGCGTGTTCTGAATGCATCTGCGAATAGCCACTGTACTCTAGCCTGGACAACATAGTGATTTCTGTCTCTAAAATTAAGAAAAAAACTAAAACAAATAAGAGATTTCAGAAGGAAAAGCCATCATTGTTTCATTGGACTCATGGCCTCTTAGAAGTTAAGTAGAAAAAGGAATGAGAAAGCCATTGAATTTGTTGTTTTGGAAATTATTTAAAAAGCAATTAACTGCATGGGGAGAGGAGAGGCAAGCAGATTGCAGTAGGTTGAGTAATGAAAGGGAAAGCAAAGCTACTAGTATTAAGAGGGCCATGTGTTTTGAATATTCAAGTTTCTCTCTCTCTTTCTCTCCCCTAACATTTGTTATTCATATTGAAGATGATAACAGAGAATTGAGTGTACAGGAAAATAGTGAGGCAGATTTTAAAATTATCAAGAAAATAGAAGCACTGCAGCATTTCCAAGCCCTTTGTTTCTAATATAGTTGGTCCTTTAAACCATTTCTGTCATTTGCTAGTGTTTACTAAATTGCATGTGCCTGGAAATATTTGGATATTCCCAGTGCCTCATGACTGGTGTTTTAGGGCCTGCTGAGTGGTGGCTAGTTGAAGGAGATTGGAGAAGTAGGGATTTGTGTGTTTCTGTGGTTGAGTGGGTGAACTGAGAGAAAATATTCTGAGAAAGTGCAGAAGACCCTAAGTGAAGTTTCACTTCTCCACCTAAAAGATAATTTTAGGAAATAGGTAGTTGAAGGAAAAAAGGTGAAGGTTAATTTTAAAGTCCACTTTAATGGTCCACTCTTAGTGGACCCCTGCTCCTACACTGACATTCTTTGTCATGGTGTGTTCCTTAAACAGCTGGCACAGTAATCAAGACACAATGAGAAAAAGAAGAAAGAGAATTTAATGTATGAATAAAAAAACACTTGATCATAAGTGTAATTGTCTAGATTTTTTATTGGTGTCTTTCACAGTTGTATGGTAACCTTTTCATTCTCACAGAAATTTCAACAGAAAAGCATAAAATCATTTTCAAATACTGAAAAGAGCCATTTTTGGTACAGTTTCCTACTAGTCATGCCCTATGTGTTTCCTCATTTTGCTACATGACTGGAGCAAGAGGATGAGGGGTGGGGTGCTACACACTTTTCAACAACTAGATCTTGAGAACTTACTCTCACAAGAACAGCACCAAAGGGGAAATCTACCTCCATGATCCAGTCGCCTCCCACCAGTCCCCACCTGTATTACCGGGGATTACAATTTGACATGAGATTTGGGAGGGGACACAGACCTTAAACCATATCAGATTCAATTCATTCGTGTTGTGGCAAAAGGCAGGGGGAAAAACAGTCAAATATATACAGATAGAGAGAAAAAAAAAAGAGGTTACCAGGATCAGGTTTGGTGGGAGAGGAAATAGGGAAATGCAGGTCAAATAATTAAAAGTAGCAAATATGTAGTATGAACAGATCAAAAGAGCTAATATGCAACATGAAGATTACTATTAATAAGTGTACTGTATTCAGAATTTTTGCTAAAGGAGTATGTTACAGCTGCTCTAGGGTGGGGATGGGTAACTGGTGAGATAATGAATGTGTTAATTTGTTTCACTATAGAAACAATTTATATATGGGTGTCTGTGTGTATCTTATAACATCATGTTGTATACCTTAAATATGCCCAATAAAAGTTAATTTTTTAAAAAAATCTAGAGGAGGAGACAAAAACATTTAAATTGTATTTATAATGCACTTTGCATCAAAATTCTGGTAAGATTTTCCTGGATATCTTAAACTTGAATTCTCTATATGGTCATATGTCAGTTCCTGGATCAACTGTATTTTTCTCTTAATAATTCCCCCAAGCTCATACGAGGCACACCTATATTTCTTTCCAAGAGAAGGAATGGACTTAGAAAAATTGGGGAGGGCTGATAAATATTTTTGTTCTGCTTCCTAAGGTGAAATAAAATGTCAGTTACCGTGAGACCATGAAATTCTACTAGTATTTATTCAAACAACCTCCATGACGTGGCTATGCCAAAAGAAAAAAAAGAGAGAGAGAGAGGAGCATTGCTACCTTGTTTTTCTAAGGGGCTGGTGGAGGGTAATCTAAAATAGAAAAGATTATACATGCAGACTCCCTGTGTTTTGAACCAACCTGTTCCCCTAGCTCAGCCTGAAGAGCTATTTAATAGTCTGGTTTCTCTGAATTATTTGTTTCTTTTACTTAATTTTTTCATTTTTAGAATATTGAATTTTGATCAGAAAAGGGATACATGTTCATTTTAGAAAGTACTAGGAAATACAATACAAAATAGAAACAATCCTATTCGTCAGTGATAACTCTTCTGAAAATAAGGATGAGGGGATATTTTTGCACTGTTTTCTCTTTGCATATATACAGGAGTGTGTGTGTTACATTCACAAATCTGGAAATGCTCTGGATTTATGGTTTGATATCATATATTTGAAAATTATTTTATCACTTTCTTTTATTTGAATGAAAAAATTGTTCATTGTAGAAAAAATGTTTAAATACAAATAAGCAAAAATAAAACAGAAAAATTAAAAATCTCCCATAATTCCATCTAGAAATACTAATGACAATGTCTTCCTGTAAACAGTCCCAGTCTTTTCTCTCCATGAAAATTTCCATATTTGTATAAAAAATTTATTTAAATTTTATAGTAAAGTATATATATTTTAAAATAAAATTAATAGCATATGTATCCACACAAGATATTTTGTTACCTTCATTTTTTCACTTTTCAGTTGCCCGTTAATATTTTCCCTATTACTCCTTTTTTCTACTTCGTTTTAGTGGCTTCATAATATTTATTATAGAGATATATTCTAAATTTCTCTATTCTTCCATTGTTAAGGATACAGTTTTTGTCCATTTTTTCATTACAAATAGCACAGTGGTGACCATCATTGTATTTGCCCCTATCCCTACTTATTTCCTTAGAATACATTGTTTAAAGTAGAATTGCTCATCAAAGTGTGTATGAAATGAATTTTCCATTTGTATCATTTTATAATAGATAAAATATTTAAATTATCTTGAAAACAATATTCTTAAGAAATTTTGCAGAATGAAAAACTAATTTATGGCATTTTTTTTTTCTATAGAAGAGCCCAATGATGTTGTTCCAAATGAGGCAAGGGTTCATAAGGAAGAGGATCACCATGCAGTATCCACAGATAATGTGGTATGTACATTTTGAAATTATTTTCCCATTATATGATTGATTTCATGCAAAAGATCCAGTTGGTGAAAATATTCATATTTTCAGAATAAAGTCTTGCTCCACTTCACAAACCAAAACAGAGCTATTTCAAGTGAAATTATATATCTTTTAGGGCTTACAAAATGTAATTTAAAATGTTATCAGCTGTATCACTAATTTTTTGATTGAGGAGATTCGCAAATATAAAAATTCAATACTTGGTACCTATATGATATTTTATACATAACAAGCTATTTTTCTTTAATACAGTTAGTAAAGAGCAGATTTCTTCCTATTTGACAGATGGCAGAATTAAAACAGAGTTTAATCTGAGATCATGAAGGAAACCTTTGTTAGTTGTGATGCATGTATGCAAGAATTTCTGACTCAGCTCTCTATTCAGAACATCCTATCTATAATGTGTTTGAAACTTTTTTCCCCATATTAATAGTTAAATTATACTCTAGTTAGTCATCTTAAAAATCACAACATAGGAGGAAAGACAGTATTAAATGTTTGAATAGCAAATAGAAGAAGGTTCTGTGTAAATTAAACTGGGTTTTGTGAAAATGTAAAAATATAGTGATGCTCCCTATGACGCTGTTTTAGCAACATCTGTTTATATTCTGCCCTATCAAGTAATCCTATAATCAAGATGGTATTAGGAGTCAGACATAAAGTGGAATGTCATTGTTCTTTTGTTTTTGCTTTTAAATCAGTATTCGGTGTTTTACTGCAGCCACTGAAAAATAGCCCCATAATTGAATTTTCTGTTACAAAATGGCTGTGACTTTAGGATTTACATTGATTTTCATTACAAGCATTGTTCATTTCACACTATAGTCCTGCTGCATGTCTTTAATAAAAGTTGAGCACATAAAATAGTTTTGCTATTCTTTTGTTAAATAACAACATTATATAACAATGTTTTCCACAAGCAGAATATAGTTTAGGATTGTATTTTCCTGATTTGAGTCCTGGTTGATTAAAGTCAATGTTTGACCCTTCTAACACTGAGTTCAACAAGCATACAGGAAAACAGCTTTGATTGTGAGGTAAAGTCATGTTTTCATTAGCTAGCTACAAGTAATTGTTTTCCGTGGTTATGAATTGTGCTACTCTTAAATTCCACCAAGTAATAATCTTCTGCTTCAGATTTGAGTTTTAGTGTGCAAGTTATATACAATTTGCAAATTGAAACACCTTTCCCTTTAAATACATGCTCGTTTTGACCCTGAATTTCTCTGCATTGAATCTCCTTCGCAGCAGATATTTGAAGATAATGAATGAAGTCATTGCACAGGATGACTAACAGTCATTTAGGCACCTAATTTTTCAAAAAGCAATTGATTTTTAGAAACAAAACTCCAAGCTTTCAAAGGTTGATCTCCTCTGCCTGTAACTTTTGAGTGTACCCAATTATTCATGTATGACAAATCAAACAGACATTTAAGACCTATTTAAATGCACACATCTACACAGTGTTCTTTGGTGCACCCCTCCCTGAATTGCCTAGGTACTTTTTCTCAAAACCAATCCAAATATGTGAGAATCTAAAAAACATAAAAAATAATAGAATCTGAGGTCTTGGAAGAGCTGACATGATTAAGCCCCAAGTTTATAGTGATTAGAATAGAAAACAAAGCATTGGATTCATCTCCAGGCAGCAGTAGAAAGTAATTTCACTGCAGCTGTTTTCCTGATTCAAAAGCCTGCAGGTCACAAACCCTGTAAGAGTATCATATCCTCATATGTAATACATTAAATATAATCATTCCAAGTTAGTTTATTACATTTAATCACCATATATAAATATATATGTATGTGTGTATATGTATATATGTGTGTGTATACACACACACACACACACACACACACACACACACGCTGGGTAGGAAGCCTGATTTGAAATCCTGCCTACAGCATGTTGCTATTTATGTGCTTGTTCTTAAAAGACTGTCTAGTGACTGAATATAGCTTAGTTTTTCCTTTTATAAAAAATTTATTTTGGGTTGGCAGAGTTTAAATATTTAAAGTTGTCGTTTCTTAACCGCATTTTTTACATGCCAAAGAAAAGATTAGAGCTGATTTTATTTATACCTTTGGTTTTTGCTTTGATTAAAAAAAAAAATCGCATGATTAGAGAACTTGGACCCTCATAGTGGGAGCTCATTGGTCATTTTTTCATCAACACTGAACTGTTTTCTTCATTTTTTCAACAGATATTAAATTAGCATTAGTACCTACTGCTGGCAAGATATTGTACAAGCTATGCTATATCTTAATTTTAAAGCTAAAGATAATTTAATCTGTCTCTCTCCTCTCTCTATCTCCCTTTTCCTCACTCTCCACCTCTTCATCCTGGATGTTATTCTTCAATGAAGGAAACAAATCACCGTGCAATTTTTATCATTAGATCATAGATACCTGCTTTCATTTAGTTGTCAAGCTAAAGTTGTGCAGTGTGCAGTAAATATGGGAATTTTTGAAAACTGTATTTGATTTTGAAATATGTCATATTCTGATATTTTACATTAGAAGTCACAAAGAGGCATATGGAAACATAAAAAGGAAAGCTCTGTCTATCCATTTTATATTTACCATTGAAAAGACCACCATTACAGAAAACGAATTTCCTGTCACTGGAGGGTGCTATTTAAGCAGTTTGCCTGTTTTGTTAAGAATATTGCAAAAAGAAATTTTCTATTTTAAATCGAATTATTTTTTTTTAATTTACCAAGCACTCATCAGTTAAAGGTAGAGGGAGGTGATTCAGATACACACTATGTGTAACACTGAGGAGCCAGTCAGTTATCAGAGTTTATTCCAGATGACCTAGACTAGATAACCTGAACATTGAAGGCACATTTTATAGACATTGCTGAGTGTAGTAAGAATGATGTGATATATATTTTTGAAAACTTCTCTGCTTGTGTTATAGAAAATAGAAATTATTGATGATGAAGAAAGTGACATGATAAGTAATTCTGAAGCTGAACAAGTAAACTCGCTCTTGGATTATAAGGTAGGTAATTTAAAATTATGAATTCATTAAGATAAGGTATTAAATGAGGCAGAATTTTACAATACCTATTATAAAATTTACAATTTTATAATAAGTTAAGCATTCTAGGGTTGTGCATTAATTCTATCAGTCAGAGTGCTGGTTATTTTAATTATTGCTGTCTGGTTTAGGGGTTATGATCTTAAGCAAAGGGTTTGCTGAGCGGCGTACGTATTGATAGTATATAGCATGGTGGAGGCAGTATACAGTGGTGGTAAACATGAAATATATGACAAAACTTTTCTGAAGCCAATGTTCATTTGTAAATGACGGTAAAAGGGATATTTTTTTCCAGTGGACTTTGCTAATTTTATCCTAAATTTTGACTTCTTCTGTAGAAAATTTTAAAATATATCACAATACATCTGTTTAAATATACGTTTAAAAACAATTCCCAAAGGAAATACAGAATGAATATGAATAGAGGTGACCTTTTCTTAGTGCTGTTACTAAACTGAAAAGCTGACTTTGACAGGGTGCCATACGTAATTTTTAAATTAAAGCTGAACATAAGCTATCAGTCTGTATGTCAATATGTTTTCTGCATAGGTTTATAAAAGCTGTCCCTTTGCTAATCATTGCCCTATCTTACTAGGTCACTTTTTGGACCTTCTGAAATTTTGGCCACACAGTCCTTTACATACACAAAAGTTTTTGTCATGGAATACCATCGGTGTTCAAAGCAGAGATTAGTAATGTTAAAATGTTAACAGAAAATAGCATTTAATCAGAAAATACATCTGTCATTTCCTCAAAAATCTTCCAGTTTTACTATAATTGAAATGTATGCCATTCAACAGATTCTGTTTTCCAAATGTTCATAACATGTCATGCTTTAAAATAGTGAATGTTAGAAACACAGAAGGAAAATATCTTTTGAAATTTATTTCCTAAATCGTCAAAGAGCATGATAAAATCCCATATTCAACTGTATTTCCAACTAACAGAATTATAAAGTTTGTTGGTTCTGAAATACAAGAGATCACGATAATCTTTCCTACATGGTCACATAATATTTCTAAATGCCCAGTTCAGGATTACAGTGTCTCTGCATGCCACAACTTGGCACAGGTTGTGGAAACTATAGACAAAAAGACTGGATTGCACGGTTGTTAAGTGTACTCCTCTTAGCACTCGCAAATATGTCAAATAGGCTTGGGCCCAGGACTCAGAGACCTCTCCCCTCTTGAGTGGCAGTCTACTTGAAAAAGTTTGGTGCTAAAAACCAGAGCAGGGCAGGGCAGAGTGTGCAGTCCAAAATGTTAGTTAATATTTTCACTAATTCAGTGTTTTCCATTGTAATAAATTCTGTAGAAACAAGAGGTCATTCATTACCCCATTAGGGATGTTTTTTATATGCTTTATGTAACTGCCTCAAGCTTGGCAGTTACATAAACTTCTTTTCTTTATCCCTCAAAATTCAACACCTATATAGAAAATATATCTTTTTATAATCATGATTTTAAAATTTTTCAACTCACGTCATGTGAACTTTGTTACTTCTAAAGGAAACGTAAGTGAAACCTCATATAGCAGTTCCTGTTACTGATTTCAGGATGTTTTAAAAAGCCTTACCAGTTTAGAAATTTGATCTGTCTTCAGAGAAAATTTTGTACTCTAGTTGTATACACATCCGAATATTTCTTCTTTGGGGATGAAAACCAGGTTGTTAATATCTTAAGTACGATTATGCGTCACTTAATGAGCGGATACATTCTAAGGAATGCATTGTGAGGCAATTTTGTCATTGTGCAAAACGTCATGGAGTGTACTTACACAGACCTAGATGTATATAGCCTATTACACACCTAGGGTATATGGTATAGCCTATTGTTTCTAGGCTACAAACCTGTACAGCATGTCACTGTACTGAATACTGTAGACAATTGGAATACAATGGTAAGTATTGTGTATCCAATCATAGAAAAGTTAATGCATTGCACTATGATGATATGATGGCTACATCATCACTAGGTATAGACATTTTTCAGCTCCATTATAATTTTATGGGATTATTATCACTATACGTGGCACATTGCTGACTGACACATTGTTATATAGCACATGATGATATATTCATCATAAACTTCTTGTAAGCAGAGGCTTACTTTATTCGCCTGTGTGTTACCTGGTTGAGAGCCTGACACATAGCTGTTCAACTATAACTATAGTTATAGTAGTTGCTAAGTGAGTAAACAAAAGACCTAATTTATCTTTGGAAATAATTTTAAAACTATTATGTAAGTAGTCATTTATATAAAATAAGGAGCTGGATTATTATATTTTTCCCTAACACTGAATTATACAGTCTTTCATTATTGAGATTTAATGCAGCAAATTGAAAGAATGTTTCCAATGGTGCATTTGATAGCTATCACTATGCAACCATGAATACTCCTTTTGGTTGTAGTGGAGTTTGTGATTGAGATACATCACTAGAAATCCATGTTGTTAGGAATTCTAACTAACACAAAATACTTATGAGACATGTTGATGGGCTCAGTACTTGAGGCAGCAGTAACTGCATCATAAAATAGCACCTCGGACTTGGCAGCCATTAATAGCCTGCTCAGAGATCAAAGCTCTGGTCAACGTGGAACCTGGAATCCTCCTTACAATCATCTAGACAAAGAATTAACAAAGGTTATTCAAACTGTAGGTAGGGCTTTAACAACCATAAATATAAGATAGATCTTGTTTTATGAAATTCAGTATCTGATGCTATGATACTAGTTTCTCTCATAAGTATTGATTTACTTAGAAAATCTTGAAAGTACACATAAATTACTGCCTGGTATCTAGAAAGTCTTTAATAGGCATGCAAAGCAGCTCTGAGAAGAAAATGCCTGCAATATTAAATTATCTTAAAGCTGTTTATGTTTTTCCAACATTGCATAAATACTGAGGAGGAGAAATATTTGCATGAAGAATTGGAAATCTGCAAACCAAAAGATGCTTCATGACTTTTGCAAATGTGAATCCGTGTTTCTTAACACACTGTGAATGCAGCTCAGAAGAACTGTGCATTCCAACTGGATACTACTATAATGATGATGTATATCTCCTGCATTAGACAAGGCTTCCTGGTCAGCACTTTACTAATACTGCTGCTCCAGCAATGAATACACATAAAACAAAGGTTTAAAATTAGTAAAATATACTATGACAGGAACATGTTGAATTTTATTTTAATGCTTACTTGTAGTTTAGATTTTTATAGAGTGCCCCTGCATAAGAAATTTAACTTGTGCAGATGATTCACTTGATATTAATGGTCTGAAAAGAAGCAGTTTTATAGGTAAAATAAGTTCTTAACTAAGCTGATGAAATAAATGATATAGTAAACATGTTAATAAATTGAATATGATAAATACAACAGCATCCTCTCAATTGAAACAACAAAAACGTCCATAGAACCAATTAATTTTAATATAATATAATTTAATTTTTTGAACAAACGTTGTTCAAAATTCTGCTATGATTTTGAGTTCAGTTCTCCAGATGCAAAGAATAGTCATGGATTACTTTCATGTTTTTTGGAATTGTAAATGACTATTTATTTGCAATAATCTTTACTTTTCAATTGTAAAGCGACAAACGAGAATTGTGTATATTTATAGGGTACAAAATGATGTTATGATTTATGAATATAATGTGGATTAATTGAATCAAGATATGTAACATATCCATCACCACAAATACCATATTTTGTGGTGAGAACATTTCAAATTTACTCATAGTGATTTTGAAATGTACGACATATTATTATTTACTATATTTACCGTTCATGAAATTAAGCATGAAAAAAAGTATTTTGTTGTTGGAAAAACATGGAGATAATTGGAAAACAGTATGCTAAATGAAATAAGCTAGGAACAGAACTCCCACCATGTTCTCACTTATGTGTGCACTCAAAAACAATCAAATTCAAACAAGCAGAGAGTAGAATGGTGGTTATCGAGGGCTTGCAGGAGGTTGGCAAATAAGAAAATGATGGTCAGAGGATATAAAGTGTTAGTTAGAAGGAAAAGGTTTTATTTCCTCCATTTGGAATATACTTTATTTTTAACCAGGTTAATTGATGCATAATTTATCTACAATAAAATTCATCTCCTTAAGTATACAGTTAGATGAGTTTTGACAGGTGGACATAGTTGTGTAAACACCACCAAAATTTGTTTATTCGCCTGCTAATGAAGTCTTGAACTGTTTCCAGTTTGGGTCTATTATGAATAAATATGCTATGAATATTCATATATAAGTCTTTTTATGACATGTGTTTTCATTTATCTTGGGTAAATTCCTCAAAGTAGAATTGCTGAGCCTTATAATAAGATAGATTATGTTGAATTTCATAAGAAACTGCTAAAATATTTTCTAGAGTAGCTGTATCATTTTACACTTTCACCAACAATGTGTGTATTAATAAACCAAAACTAAAATTCTAAGTTTCCCAGTCATCTGAATAAGCCCCTCCTCTTGGCCAAGGGCATTCCAAAGTTAACCTGAAAAATTAGTTCAGGCCACGATGGGAAGCAGGAGCTGGCCATGCCTCATTATACCTTCCTCTCTTTTGGATTACTGATAAAACAGATTCTTTAAGTCTGATAAGAAACATTTACAATCTATTCTCTCTGAAGCCTGCTACCTGGAGGCTTCATCTGCAAGATGAAACCTTGGTCTCCACAATCCCTAATCATAACTCAGATATTCCTTTCTATTGATAACCCTTACAAGCAATTGCCAATCCGAAAATCTTTGGATCTGCATTTAACATAGAAGCCTCTGCTTCCAATTGCTCCTCCTTTCTTGTCCAAATCAATGTACAACTTACTCATATAGATTTATGCCTTGTCTTTCTAAAATGCATAAAACCAAGTTGTGGCCCAATCACAATCACCTTGGGCACATTTCTTGGGATCTCCTGAGGGCTGTGTACAGTCCATTGATCACTCATACTTTGCTCAGAATCAACCTCTTCAAATATTTTATAGAGTTTGACACTTTTTGTCAACATGTATGGGACTTCTAATTGCTCCACATTCTTGTCAGCACTTGGTATTGTCAAGCTCTTTAACTATAGTAGTATATCAGTACTAGTACCTCATTGGGGTTTTAATCTGTGTATCTTTAAGGACAAATGATATTAAGCATCTTTTCATGTGGTTATTGGTCATTCAGATACCTTATTTGATGAAGAAAGTGTTCAAATATTTTGCTTTTTACTTTGTTGCTTATAACAGTTCTTTATGTGATCTGAATCGAGGTCCTTTTTCAGATATATGATTTGAAAATATTTTCTCCCAACATATGGCTTTTATTTTTATTTTCTTTACAATATCTTTTAAAAAGCAAAGTTGTTTTTTGTGTTATTTTGTTTTGTTTGTTGACATAGGGTCTCACTGTCACCCAGGCTGAAGTGCAGTGGTGTGATCATGGCTCACTGCAACCTCAAACTCCTGGGCTCAAGCCTCATTTTTAAAAATAAATCTTTCATGAGGCTAGGCACAATAACATATCCCTGTAATACCAACACTTTGGGAGACTGATATGGGAGGATCACTTGAGACCAGGAATTTAAGACCAGCCTGGGCAAAATAAAGAGACCCCATATCTACAAAAAAGTTAAAAAATAATTAACCAGGCATAGTGGTGCCTGCCTGTAGTCTAGCTACTGACTTGTGAGGATCCCTTGAGCCCAGTAGTTCAAGGTGGCAGTGAGCTATATTTGATTTAACTAAATGAATAAAAATAAAAGGTCTTCTTTTTTTAAGTTTCATAATTTTTGTATTCTATTTAAGAGACTTTTTGCCTAACCCAAAGTAAAAAAGATTTTCTTCTCTGTTTTCCTCTAAAGTTTTAGTTTTATTATGCATTTTAGTTTTAGGTCTATGATCTATGTCTTGTTACATTTTATCTATTATGTGAGGTAAGGACTGATATATATATATATTTTTGCATGTGGATTTACATTTGTTTAACCACTATTTGTTGAAAGACAATACTTTCTTTATCTATTGAGTGAACTCAGTAACTTTGTTGAAAATCGGTTGACCATTTTTGTGGGGATTTATTTCTGATATATTTTTTTCCATTGATTGATATGTCTACCCTTATGCAATACCACCCTTTCTTGATTACTGTGGCTTTTTATTTTTTTGAGATGGAGTCTCACTCTGTCACCCTGGCTGGAATGCAGTGGCGTGATCTCAGCTCACTGCAATCTTTGGCTCATTACAACCTCCACCTCCTGGGTTCAAGCAATTCTCCTGCCTCAGGCTCCTGAGTAGCTAGGATTACAGGAGCATGACACCACGCCCAGCTAACTTTTATATTTTTAGTAGAGACGGGGTTTCACCATGTTAGTCAGGCTGTTCTCGAACTCCTGTGCTCATGATCTGCCCTCCTCGGCCTCCCAAAGTACTAGGATTACAGGCATGAGCCACTGTGCCCAGCCTACTATGGCTTTTATAGTAAATCTATGTTCATTATCTTATTTGAGTGTTATAGCCCTCAAAGCTAGAACTGTTAAGGGTTACCAGTATAATAACCATTTTGCTGATTAGTAAACAGAGTCACAGAGAGGTTAATTAGCCCATCCAAGTTTAAAATTATCAATAGACTTGGCACTAGAATACTCCCAAATATTAGTCCAGTGTTGTCATTTTGCCTATACAACTAGCAAAAACAGTAGAGTAACTGATTCTTACACCAATGGTACACAGTGGTACATTTTCAGTTATTTTTGGAATAACAGACTCCTTTTTAATCTGTGGGGGCTCAGCAAAGAACTTAAAATAGTCAGTAATTTCAGGCTCTGCTTGGTGCAAAATAACCATTTAAGCTCTGAGTAGTTGGCTTTCTGAATGGCAAATTCAGCATTGCTGTATCTGCCATTGCTTTTTGGGTTAATTGGAATCTATCTATTCTTAATCTTTTTTGTTTTTAGATGGAGTCTCACTCTTGTTGCCCAGGCTGGAGTGCAGTGGTACGATCTCGGCTCGCTGCAACCTCTGCCTCCCAGGTTCAAGTGCTTCTTCTGCCTCAGCCTCTTGAGTAGCTGGGACTACAGATGCATGCCACCATGCCTGCCTAATTTTTGTATTTTTAGCAGAGACGAGGTTTTACCATGTTGGCCAGGCTGGTCTCAAACTCCTAACCTCAGGTGATCCGCCTGCTTCAGCCTCCCAAAGTGCTGGGATTACAGGCATGAGCCACCATGCCCAGCCTCTATTCTTAATCTTAATCTGTTTGCTAATTAGCCTTGATATAGAAGGGGTACTTCCCAGAAGGGAGCTGTTTTTTGTTTTCTCTTTTACTGGAACCAGTTGGATTGGTTTCTGATCTTATAAATTGTTTTCTATTAGTGATTTGCTTAAAAGGCAGCCTATCATTTCCTTCTGTGCTTTGTATTCCTTTATGTTAGCATTTGGTTTTCTTCATTTTCCTCCTAATTTGATGGTTCTTTAGAATTTTATTATGCATCAAACATGTACAGTCCAAGCTTACATAAGGTAACTGTATCACTTGATATTTTCTCTTTCAGAATGAAGAAGTCAAATTCATTGAAAATGAGCTAGAGATTCAAAAGCAAAAATACGTTAAACTTCAGACTTTTGTTAGAAGCTTGATACTAGCTATGAAAGCTGACGATAAGGAACAACAGCAGGTAGGTCCCAGGAGAGACTAGTAAACTGCAATGTATCAAGTCAAAAAATGGCGTGTCGCACTTGGGTTGTTCATATGTTTTCATTTTTATACTTCATGTCTGCTTGGCATGGAGGAAATGTTTGTTATTTCATGACCTTTGCAAAACAGTTTTCTTGAGAATAGGTGTTCAGATTTTATGTGCTGCTTCAATGGATAATCAAAATAATTCATTAACATGCTTTTAGTTTCAGGCTAGTATTTAGTTGGGGAAAATAATTTTAAATTAATTTCAAAGAAATTTCTGAAAATGTTGATAGAGACTGGACTACTCTAACTAGAGAGGCATATATTTTGGGACCTTTTGTGAATGAAAAAGTTAAAGCATTTCTTTGCCTTTCTTCTGGATCTTAGTTTCCTGCCAACCCCCACCACAGTTCACAAATATTTGGACATCTTCTATTCTGTAATGTGTTGCTCATCAGGAAGACAGTATGAATTATTTTGTGATATTCTTAGCGTCCACAGTGCATCACTTACTTTTCCCAATTTAAATATTTCAATATTTGAATTTTTGACTTCAAAGATGAAAAATATTATCTTTTCCATGTTACTGTGGGTTTTTGTTTACAAGTTCCTCCCAAATTATATTTTGTGTCTCATATTTTCATGTGAAATCTATATAATAATTTGTTAGGCTTGCTAAAAATTATAAAATTATAATAAATGTTTCATTTAATATTAATACCATATATTCATTTGAGCTATATGTTATTATGCTGATTCCTTGTCAGTGTTCTATATGAGTAGTGTGAGACACAGGTAACCATTATTTAGGAAGAGTCTCAGAGGTTTTTATTCATCAAGGAATGTCAGGAGTACAAATATTCATCTCTTATATCAAAGAAAGATTGCATGTATATAGCCCACCCCAGATATCTCTAAGAAAAAAGATTAAAGCCATAGAATCCCATAAGCCTCCCTTTTTTTTTCAAAGAAATAGCCTCTATGTATTTTACTGAAGTGCTGAACCACAAAATTGAAACTAATAAATTTACTAATGAGGCACAAACCAGCATGTATATTATGTGTAAAGTTTTATGAATTTTGCTCCCTGTGCAGCCCCCACACCCACAGACATTCCAAGACAGTAGCTTTCAAATACCTTTGCCAACTTCATTTAAGCATATTGGTTTATTTTGAGTTATGTATATTCCACGACATACTGAAAATGTGTTTGCTTTTTAGAAACCTAAAATGTAGATTTTAAATGAACATGGTCCCAGGAATATGGTAAATTTTAAATAACTGTGAATAAATAAAATTAGGTACAAGCAGAGTAATAACTTGAAGTGTGGCCGTGGTTTTGAAAGTCATAGCATGATTTTGAATTGAGAGTTATACGGTCAACTAACTAGCAAGATTCCGTCTCTTGATATCTAGAAATAGCACAGAGATTCCATTTTATTCTCTAATTCTAATCTCATTCCTGGTTTGATTATTTTCCCAAGACAAATTATGAATAAGAAATATAACTAATGTGCATTTTAATTTTTCTCTTCCTCTTCTACTTTTCCTTTGATGAAAGACTAATAAATGAGTATATGGATAAAAATTGGCTGAAAGAGAACATGATTCAAAAATTGTAGTGAACCGCATAACCAGTATAATCAGCAACAAATAGAAACTACTAATTTGTATAATTAAGGCTGAATATAATGAATCTCAGAATATGGTCACAAAATACAGAAAACACAAATCGTAGTTCAGGAAAGTTATCTAGGTAATTGCTTAAACTACTGATCTTTACATCATTAAATATTTATAGGTTTATTTCTGGAAGGAAATAAAAATTAATCTTTATTCTACCTAATAAAAGACAATCACGTGTCACTGATTTTTAATTTTAAAAAATCTTCGTCATTCTTTCATTAATCTTGATTTGTGCAAGTTGAGTGAGACAAGTTGTCTACAGACTATTTTGGACCATTGAAGAAGGCCAGGGTTTACAAAAATATGATATTCTCTGACTGAAACACTAAATTACCCAAAGATTTTGTTGTTGTTGTTGTTGTTGCTTAAATCAATAGCCACTTTAAAGCCAAAGTAATATTTTCAGCATTATACTTAGTCATTAGTTATGGTCTTACTTCCTCTGACAATTCACTGTGTGACTGTGTGTTCCTAGGCAGATCAATTGTCTTTCTTGAACTTCAATTTCTCCACTTTGCAAGTGGGATAAGAATGATTAATACTACAGAACTTGATATTCATACCATACGGTCTAGAATAAATATTATGGAAACTGTTCATAAGGAAAATCTCTTGGGAAAAATGACAGTGAGGATAGTTGTCATTTATGAAACATTTGTAATAAAGAAAGTTAATTGTATACACTTTAGTATCTATGAAAAAGGCAATTCCAACAATTGTTGTAATCCAAATATTTTTTTCAGTTGCAAATCTAGTAAGATATTGAAAGAATTTTAAAGTGGACCACATGTATTAGTAGTGCCCTATGCTGCCTCAGATATTAATTTTTTAATATTTTTACTGCATTTATTTTACTCAGTCATCTACTTATAATGCAGTAACAAAGAAATTAATGATAATGCTTCTCTGATTTGTACATCTCCCCACTAGAAATTAGAACATTATTAAATCTTATCCTCTTGACTTTCTGACTCTAAGGACATATTCAGTGAATGTTACTTTGAAAACTTTCTCCTCTTTAATATGGCATCTTCAAAATTGAAAAGTGAGCTAAACCCAGTGATGTATTTCATATAGACTGATTAGCCAATGTCAAAAAAGGCTCCATTGCACTTGGATTGGATTAGCGGTAAACCATTTTTCTAGGAGAAAATGGCTCTGTGTCCTATAACTGCAATCTAGCACCTTAGAAAGCATGTATTATCTTTAAGTTAGTTTACTGTGTAAATACTCTCAGTTCTAGCAATAGATTTATGCGAAATTTAATTTTATAAATAAATAATAACAGCTTGTCTGACAGATAGGGGTTAGTCTTTCCTTACAGAACCTGACAAAAATGAGAATGTTTTGATCTTGCCTCTGTGCTTCAAGGCAAAAAGTGTAGGATTTGTAGCTGCTACTTTTATTTTTAATACTTTAAGTTCTGGGGTACATGGATAGAATGTGCAGGTTTGTTACATAGGTATACATGTGCCATGGTGGTTGCCTGCATTCATCACCCGGTCATTTACATTAGGTATTTCTCCTAGTGATATCAACCCACCCCCCGCTATCCCTGCCCTATCCCCCCAACCCAAAACAAGCCCCAGTGTATGACGTTCCCCTCTCTGTGTCCATGTGTTCTCACTGTTCAACACCGACTTATGAGGGAGAACATGCAGTGTTTGGTATTCTGTTCCTATGTCAGTTTGCTGAGAATGATGGTCTCCAGCCTCATCCATGTCTCTGCAAAGGACATGAATGCATCCTTTTTTATGGCTGCATAGTATTCCATGGTGTACATGTGCCACATTTTCTTTATCCTGTTTATTATTGATGGGCATTTGGGTTGGTTCCAAGTCTTTGCTATTGTGAACAGAGCCACAATAAATATACGTGTGTATGTGCCTTTATAATAGAATGATTTATAATCCTTTGGGTATATACCCAGTAATGAGATTGCTGGGTCAAATAGTATTTCTATGTCTAGATACTTGAGGAATCGCCAAACTGTTTTCCACAATGGCTGAACAAATTTGCACTCACACCGACAGTGCAAAAGCATTCCTATTTCTCCACATCCTCTCCAGCATCCTCGTTGTCTCCTGAGTTTTTAATGATCACCATTCTAACTGGCGTGAGATGGTATCTCAATGTGGTTTTTATTTGCATTTCTCTAATGACCAGTGATTTTGAGCTTTTTTTCATATGTTTGTTGGCTACATGAATTTCTTCCTTTGAGAAGTGTCTGTTCATATACTTTGCCCAGTTTTTGATGAGGTTATTTGTTTTTTTCTTGTAAAACTGTTTAAGTTCTTTGTAGATTCTGAATAATAACCCTTTGTCAGATTGGTAGATTGAAAAATGTTTTCCTATTCTGTTAGTCTACTGTTTCACTCTAATGATAATTTTTTTTTTCTGTGCAAAAGCTCTTAATTTTTGTATAAGGTGTAAGGAAGGGTTCCAGTTTCAGCTTTCTGCATAGCTAAGCCAGTTTTCTCAACATCATTATTAAATAGGGAATCATTTTTCCATTGCTTCTTTTTATTAGGTTTGTCAAAGATCAGATGGTTGTAGATGTGTGGCATTATTTCTGAGGCCTGTGTTCTGTTCCATTGGTCTATATCTCTGTTTTGGTACCAGTACCATGCTGTTTTGATTACTGTAGCCTTGTAGTATAGTTTGAAGTCAGGTAGCATGATGCCTCCAGCTTTGTTCTTTTTGCTTAGATTGTCTTGGCTATGTGGGATCTTTTTGGATCCATATGAAATTTAAAGTGTTTTTTTCCAATTCTGTGAAGAAACTCAATGGCAGCTTGATGGGGACAGCATTGAATCTATAAATTACTTTGTGTGAGTAGCCATTTTCATGATATTGACTCTTCCTAACCATGAGCATGGAATGTTTTTCCATTTGTTTCTGTCCTCTTTATTTCCTTGAGCAGTGGTTTGTAGTTCTCCTTGAAGATGTCCTTCACATCCCTTGTTAGTTTTATTCCTAGGTATTTTATACTATTTGTAGCAATTATGAATGGGAGTTCACTTATGATTTGCCTCTCTCTCTGTCGTTGGTGTAATTTTTGCATGTTGATTTTGTGTCCTGAGGCTTTCCTGAAGTTGCTTATCAGCTTAAGGAGATTTTGAGCAGAGATGATGGGGTCTTCTAAATATACAATCAGGTCATTGGCTAATAGAGACAATTTGACTTCCTCTTTTCCTAACTTAATACCCTTTATTTCTTTTTCTTGCCCTGGCCAGAAATTCCAATACTGTATTGAGTAGGAGTGGTGAGAAATTTCATCCTTGTTTTGTGCTTGATTTCAAAGGAAATGCTTCCAGTTTTTTGCCTATTTAGGATAATATTGGCTGTGGGTTTGTCATAAATAGCTCTTATTATTTTCAGATAAGTTCCATTGATATCTAGTATATTGAGAGATTTTAGCATAAAGTACTGTTGAATTTTGTTGAAGGCCCCTCTACAGCTATTGACATAATCATGTGGTTTTGTCTTTAGCTCTGTTTATGTGATAAATTACATTTATGGATATGTGTATGTTGAACCAGCCTTGCATCCCAGGGATGAAGCTGATTTGATCATGATGGATAAGCTTTTTGATGTGCTGTTGGATTTACTTTGCCAGTATTTTAATGAAGATTTTTGCATTAATGTTCATCATGGATATTGACCTGAAATTTTCTTTTTAGTTGTGCCTCTACCAGGTTTTGGTAACAGGGTGATATTGGTCTCATAAAATGAATTAGAGAGGATTCCCTCTTTTTGTATTGTTTGGAATAGTTTCAGAAGGAATGGTGCCAGTTCCTCTTTGTAAAGCAGTGGTTGCAATCCTAGTCTCTGATAAAACAGACTTTAAACCAACAAAGACCAAAAGAGACAAAGAAGGTCATTACATAATGATAAAGGGATCAATGCAACTAGAAGAGCTAACTATCCTAAATATGTAAGCACCCAATACAGGAGCACCCAGATACATAAGGAAAGTTCTTAATGACTTACAAAAAGACTTCGACTCCCACACAATAATAGTGCGAGACTTTAACATCCCACTGCCAATATTAGACAGATCAATGAGACAGAAAATTAACAAGGATATGCAGGACTTGAACTCAGATCTGGACTAAGCAGAACTAATAGACATCTATAGAACTTTCCACCCCACACCCACAGGATATACATTCTTCATAGCACCACATCATACTTATTTTAAAAGTGACCACATAATTGGAAGTAAAACACTCCTCAGCAAATGCAAAAGAATGGAAATGATAACAAACAGTTTCTCAGACCACAGTGCAATCAAATTAGAAATAAGGATTAAGAAACTCACTCAAAACTGCACAAATACATGGAAACTAATCAACCTGCTCCTGAATGACTACTGGATAAATAACAAAATAAGGCAGAAATAAAGATGTTCTTCAAAACCAATGAGAATGAGAACACAGCATCCCAGAATCTTTGGGACACATTAAATCAATGTGTAGAGGGAAATTTATAGCACTAAATGCCCACAAGAGAAAGGAGGAAAGATGTAAAATGGACACACTAATGTCACAACTAAAAGAACCAGAGGAACAAGATCAAACAATTTTATAAGCTGGTAGAAGGCAGGAAATAACTAAGATCAGAGCAGAACTGAAGGAGATAGAGACACAAAAAACCCTTCAAAAAAGTCAATAAATCCAGGAGCTGTTTTTTTTTTTTTTGAGAAGATCAACAATATTGATAGATCGCTATCCAGACTAATAAAGAAGAAAAGAGAGAAGAATCAAATAGATGCAATAAAAAATGATAAAGGAGATATCACCACCGATCCCACAGAAATACAAACTATCATCAGAGATTACTACAAACACTTCTATGCAAATAAATCAGTAAATCTAGAAGAAATGGATAAATTCCTGGACACTTACACTCTCCCAAGACTAAACCAGGAAGAAGTTGAACCGCTGAATAGAACAATAACAAGGTCTGAAATTGAGGCAGCAATTAATAGCCTACCAACCACAAAAAGTTCAGGACCACATGGTTTCACAGCCAAATTCTACCAGAGTTACAAAGCTGTCACTTCTTTTAGTAAAGAGAATGACTGCATACTGTCTCATTTCAACAGTGGATTTCATATGTTATCTAACATGGCCTTTCTGTTCCTTAATTGGGTAGTGACAAGTTTTATTTGTTCCTGTTCCATTGGTCCTTATTTACCGCTGCATCAAAAGCCCAATTACAATTAATACTGTCTAAAAAATGCCAGATACTGTACATTAATTTTAGAATTGGAAGCAGCAAACCAGCCATTTAGTTCAAAATTCCTCACGGTCAAATGAACATCGGTATTGTCCCCCACCTAAAACTTGATTAATCATTTATTTCTTTAGTATGGGTGCATGTTCTACAACTTCAGATAAAACGATTAGACCATGACAAAGCTTAGTTCATCGTTCTTGGATTATCCTTATTACTCCAGCAGAGAAATGAGCAGCCCTCCAGATACATCATAACTACAGCAGATCCACTGATTCAGCTGTGCCCAGGTGGGTGCTTGGCCATCTCCAGGTATGAACACAGCCTTAGGAAAGAAAAAAAAGATACTTGGTCTTTTCAAGTTGTTAAAATGTAGTGGCTGAAAGTTTTTCCTAACTACTAAGTTCTTTCTCACACTGAAGAACAAAAAGTCTTTTGTTAAATACAGTCTTCTACAAAGGACAGCATAACTGGCATGAATATTTTAACAAAGAATGCAATTTTAAATCCTTTTAACAGTGATCAATGCACACTCAAAACTAGTATGAAAATCACTAACCTCAAATACTTCAAAGCACTTGGTCCAGAAAAGTTGCCCATTTCCCTCCTGATTTCCCTTTTGTACAGGTTTCACTCTACACAATTCACACTTTCAACATCAAGAATTTTGTTACTTTCTTAATAATGTATGAAGAATTTTCTTTTAGGTAAGGTATTGTCTAAGAACCTGAAATAGAAATTATTATTTAAATCCATAAGGATAATTCACCATAAGAGGACTACAGCTATTAACATAAAATCAGATAACGATCTATCCACATACTAATCCAAAAAATGTATATTTTTTTTATTCAGGCACTGCTGTCAGATTTACCTCCTGAATTAGAAGAAATGGATTTCAATCATGCCTCGCTGGAGCCTGATGATACCTCATTCAGTGTTTCTTCTTTATCAGAGAAAAATGTCTCAGAAAGTTTGTGATTTCAATTGGAGGGAATATATAATACAGCCTTTTGGCTTCCTAACAGGTGTGCATTTCAAGATAACTGCATTCGGTTGCCCTGATATTCTTTAGTTGGGAAAACACGTTGTTGAAACGGACATATTCTGTGAAGAATATAAAAGATATAATGGCTACAGTGCAAAAAATATAGGTGAAATTTAAAATCATTGAGAGAGTTTTTTTTAACTGATGAAACTCTGGAAAAAAAAATATGTATCTAAGTTCGACCAGTTTAACCCTGAAATTCGTTATGTTTCATTACTGACCAGAGTCAAAATAACAAAAGACATTTCAGCATCGCTTATCAAGTTGGTACAGCTTGATTAGTCTTGTTTTTGTAGCCATTACATCTTCTTTCTTCTTCTCTCCTTTTCATATCATCCACATACACTTTTTCTCAGGAAAGTGGACTGAACATTTAAAACAAAACGTTAAAAATTTATTTAACTAATTATTTAGTGAGTTCTTGGACTTATTTTTTAACCCTTATGAGAATTTGACTTAAGCTAATGATTGAATATTGAAATGCTTACAGGTATGTAATTGTAAATTGCTAGTGTTATCCTATTATCTAACCCAAATATTTGTGTGGGGGTGGGGAAGCACAATGGACAGGTAATTTAACCAATATAAAATCAAATAAATTACTAAGTGTACAGAAACAAAATGTTGTCAAAATTAGTCTTGATGGGGACTCTTCATTACTACAAATGACAAATATTTATATGATTGACATTCTAGTAGTAAATTTGTATAACTGAGTTAGATGAAGTATTACTCATGTATTTTAAATTTATCACCATCTTTATAATTCTTTTTTAGTTCTTACATGTTATGAAACAGGAAATCAAGGTAAGCTGCTGAGATTTTTTAAAAATTTAGTCATTCAGCTTTGCCACAATATACCTCATTTCCACATGAGGCCTGTACAGAGCCATCAGCCAAGGATAGTATTCAAAAAGAGTTATACTACTTTGGTTGTAAATCACAGTCCTCTGAATTCCCTGAATACTATTCTATGAGTACACACCTAAAATGGGCAAGCTACCCAGTTGTTCTATTAGTAGGTACCAGATGGCAACACACTGTAGACTGTTCTTTGCAGTCCTTCCTTTCCGGGGTACCAGATGGTATTACCAAGACCCATAGAAGGGAAAATGCCAGTTTCTCCCTAAGCTCACAGTGTCGTATATTTGTGACTTGGAAGTGTGGAATTGTGTTGCATGGTTAAATTACTATCTATACCTAAAAGATTAATGATGTAGCTAGATGGCTGTTTTGGTCATTCTATTTAAAATTTGTTTTTAATTTTTAATTTTTGTGAGTACATAGCAGGTATTCAGATAGTTTTAAAATTTGTGATTAGAGCCAAATTTGATCTTGAAATTTACTAATACCAAATTAAGAATACAGAAAGGCAGTCATAAATATCTTTAACCTTGAAGTGTCCCCTCCTCCCCCACACACAAATAGGTAAGGTCCCATGGATAGTCTTTCATTTTGTCACTTATTTGTTTATATTGCTACCATACTACTGATATTGTTCCTTTGTTAGTAGGAATATTTCAGTGTTCAGGTATGCTTCCTTTTAGCTGAGAGCCATATGGAGTTTTGTAAACAGTGGTAAATATTGATTGCTGACAAGTTAAATTCCATTCAGGGAAAGCAGCACGGAGTAACAGAATCTCAGATATTAGGATTAAATATACCAGTCACACTAATTCATCTATGAGATAAAGAGTTGTCCCCATATACAGCAAATTTAGAAACCATTTCTTAAGTAGCATGAACAAATTCCAGGTCTTCAAGTCTCTCCTAGGGTCTGCTTCATAGTAATTTAGTTTATCTTTCAAATATAATTACTTCGGCTTCAATTTAAACCCCTTCTTCTTTGGTTCTCATTGCAAATTAAGTATAGGTATACTCTCTTTAGTTTTTAACACTATGGATTGTATTTGTCACACATCAGCCATTAGTCACTAAATCGAAAAATACTTGTTGATCTCCTGCTATAGAGAAGGCACTGTGCTGGACATTGGATTTCTTGGCAAGCTGTAAACCTCACAAATAATTATTTCTTGTGAACATCTTCCATGATATTAATAAACCTTATTTAAGTAGAATTTTTAATAGATTTAAGGGTTTTGTGAGGTGTGATTCTTAGAAGGATTTCTAGTCTATAATTTAGAGAGGAGCAGAGATGATCTTTTTGTCTCTGTTTAAAGTTTCTTTAAAATAGAAACTATATAAATCATAACAGTACATTTAGGACTCCTTTTGTCTTGAAATTTGTGTTTCAGCACCAGAATGTTTTTCTTCACCATCATTGGAATTAAAACACTTATAAAACAAAATGTGGCCATTCTGTAGCAGAAACCACAGGAAATACCTGTATCCAGAGAAAAAGAATCATAATTGTCAGATTGAAATTATGCATGGTAAATTCTGAAAAAGATGTCAAGGCCAAGTACTGAAAAGGTGTTATGAAGAAAGTATATTTTTCACATATGTAAATAGGAGTTGATTTTGAGATATCTTAGGGCAGGAAAGATTATCCGCTAATAAATTACTGTTGTGAACATCTTCAAGGCTGGGGATAAAAATCAACTAACTAGTATTTCTTTCTTTAGGAGTTTAATAGTATTAAAACAGACCTTACTATCTGAAGGCTCTCTCAGGGAGACAGAAGCCAATGTGAAATAATAATAACTTCTTTTTTTCTTTCAAGTACATTTCTATGTCTGCTTTAATCTTAGAACAGTCAAGCAGTTTCTAAGCCAGAAACGTGTATGTAAGAGCACTTACCTTCCAAAATGTGTACATATGAAATAAAGGAAGGTATTTTCTTCTTTTCAGCCAAGCTAAACTTAGTCACAAGTAAATGAGAATCGCAATTGCTCTGGAGAATAGGAAAACTTAGCACATGCAAAGAAAACCTTAAAAGAAAATTGGTCTCTTCATGGAAACTGGGGATGTTTTGTTGTAAAGTGAGTTATCAACAGCAGGAATGTTATATTGCCATTGCAAGCATGTGATAGAAATGTTTTGTTATTGTTGGAGAAGAAAAGGCTGAGACCCACTTATATTCTGTCCTCTTTATTCGACCAAGACCTCAAAAGATGTCAAAGAAACCATTTCTCCAAAGACAGCAACATCTATTGTGAGGCACTTTCATATTCAGCAGTCTGTAAGTTTGTAGGAGGAAACGTAAGTGGTGAATGTTAAATGATTCTGGGCTCTAAAATTGATTTTGTTGCCTTTTTTGGTGGGGGTGGTGGTATTGGGATTCAGCCCATTTCCAAGGGATAGTTTCCTCATCTCAGACAAATAGTTTATTATCATTTTTAAAAGAAATTCTGAAAACTTTAACTCCTGCCCTTCTTTCATATTACAGTTGTGTTATTCCAAAAATATTGCCTACTTTTTAAATATATTAGATTTGCATTCAGATCTTAAACATGCAAAAATGTGATAGGTTAGATTTTTAAAGGAGTTATCAGTACCATTGTATCTAAATGAGACGTAAATGGGTAGATTTCTCTTTGAAGCTGATATTTTCCTTGGCAGACAGCACTGTATCATGCTCTTCACCAAGTTATGCTCTGTAATGCTGTAATAGAGGAGGCTACTAACTTGTGAACCTACAGTCAACACACTGTTGCTGAAAACAAACTGATTAAGAGCAGATTTACTAGGGGGAAGAAAGAGTAAAATGATATTTTCATGCAAATGTATTTAAAATTGTTTCATTAAAATATATACTGAGTGTATACTGCTCCACATTAAAATTTTATTTTGCATTAACTTGTTAAGTAATTAATTTTAGCAATCCTGCATCCCATTTTACTAGTACTACCTCTGAAATATACTGTCACCTTAAGACCATGTCAGACTGTAATGTGAATTTTTGTAGAGTGTTTATTTAAACTTTTATAGAGGCAATAAATGATTTCCAATGAATAGACATGCATTTCTTTATTTTAATATTTCTTTATATAAGCCTTTGTATTGTAAGCACTTTCCCCTTTTAAAATGGATTATTTTCTTCCCAAAATATGGTTCTGATAAAAAGAAAAATGTAGAGACTAATAAGGTGTTGGGGGTCAAAGAAGGGAGAAAATGGAGTGCTCATATGAAACTTAGTTGATTTCCAAGCTGATTTGTGTACCGTCCTTAATTGACTTTACTTAACTCCAATACTAATGAAATAAAGTGAATATTTTTAAAAAGACAACAGGTATGTCCACAATATTGTATTTAAATGGTAACATCAGCAAGTAAATTGCCACAGTATAATAGAGTATTATTTTTATGTGAGGTTTTTCTGTTTGTTTGTTTTGTTTTAATGTGGCGATGTTGTATCTAACTTTTTCTGGTCCGTTTTGATACTAGTTGAGTATGCTTTTAATTTTTGTGAAATATGCCCATGCCTTTTACCAGTTAAAACTCTTCATGTTACCTTACTAGTGGGGGAGGAATAAGAAGCGGTAAATGCTGTGTTTAAAATAGCATAACAGCAGTTTTTCTTCCCAGTTGGTCAATATTCAAGAACATTACAGGGAGTAAATCATGAACAAATGAGCATTTCAAATGACTGAATTCTTTCTCAGATCTGCAAAATTATTGACTTAAGATCGTGAAATAATTTGATTTTAGATAAGTCAATAAATACCATTGCAATTCTATTTAAAAGACAAGTCAATGGATACAAGTTCATGAAATTGAATGATATTTTTCACATCAAATGAAACTAAGTAAGTTTCACATTTTTGTTTATATTTCTTTATAAAAGTAATAAACGTTAATTGCAGAAATTTTAGAAAATGTAAAAAGAAATATTTAAACAAAGAACCACTTGTAATCCCATCACCCACTAAGAATCGTTATTACATTTTAGAATATTTCATTCTAGTCCTTTCTTCCACATATTATGTTCTCAAACGTATATTTACAAAACTGGAATTTTGCTGAATATGCAGATATGTGTCCTGCTTTTTCTCTTAAAAATGTACTGAGAGCATATTCCCATGTGAATTTGTCACAAAGTTATTTCTCCTCAATTACATTTGAACTCGGAGGGGGAAAATATTTTTCGTTTCTTTTGACTTTTGTTTGTTTGCTTGTTTTGAAGGGTTTTATTCACCTGAGGTTATTTTTCCAGTTTTTTATTTTTTGAATTATTGTTGGTACACAGTAGGTGTGTACATTTCCACCAGTAGTGTACAAGGATTCCTTTTTTCCACATTCTCGCCAGCATTTTTTATTACGTGTCTTTTAGATATAAGCCATTTTAACTAGTGTGAGATGATATCTCATTTTAGTTTTGATTTGCATTTCTCTGATGATCAGTGATATTGAGCACCTTTTCATATGTCTGTTTGCCATTTGTCTGTCTTGAGAAATGTCTATAAAAATCTTCTGACCATTTTTTAATCAGATTATTATATTTTTTTCTATAGAGTTGTTTGAGCTCCTTATATTTTCTGGTGATTAATCTCTTGTCAGATAGGTAGTTTGCAGATATCTTCTATTCTGAGGGTATTCTTTTCTTTTTATTGATTGTATCATATGCTGTACAGAAGCTTTTTAACTTGATGTGATGCCATTTGCCCATTTTTGTTTTCGTTGCTTCTGCTTTTGGGGTCTTATTCAAGAAATGTTTGCCCAGACAAATCTCCTGAAGATTTTCTTATAGTAGTTTAATGTCTTAGATTTAAGCCCTTAGTACACCTTTCTTTAAATTTTGTATATGGCAAGAGATAGGGGTCTATTCATTCTTCTGCATATGGATATCCAGTTTTCCTAGCTAAAACCATTTATTGAAGAGATTTTCTTTTCTCTAGCATATGATCTTGGCAACTTTGTCAAAAATGAGTTCACTGCAGGTATGTGGATTTGCTTCTGGGTTACTATGTTACACTGGCCTGTCAGTTTTAATGCCGGTACCATACTGTTTTGTTAATTATAGCTCTGTAGTGTAATTTGAAGTAAGACAATGTCATTTCTCCAGTTTTGCTCTTTTTGCTTAGGCTAGCTTTGGCTATTCTAGGTCTTTTGTGATTTATATACATTTTAGAATAGTTTTTTATATTTCTGTGAAGAATACCTTTGGTATTTTGATGGGAATTGCATTAAATCTGTAGATTGCTTTGGGTTGTATACACATTTTAACAATAATGATTTTTCCAATAATGGAACATGGAATAGTATTCCATTTTGGGGGGATTCTCTTAAATTTCTTTCATTGGTGTTTTATAGCTTTCATTATAGAAATCTTTCACTTCTTTGCTTAATTCCTAGATGCTTAATGTGTGGCCATTATAAATGAAGCAACTTTTTATGTTTATTCTTCACATTGTACACTGTTGGCATTTAAGAATGGTACTAATTTTTGCATGTTGATTTTTTTCTCCTGCAATTTTCCTGAATTTGCTCATCAATTTTAATAATTTTTTTGGTGGAGTCTTTAGATTTTTCCAAATCTAAGATCATATCATCAGCAAACAAGGATAATTTGACTTTTTTGCTTCAAATTTGCATATGCTTTCTATCTTTCTCTGGTTTGACTGCTCTAGCTAAGTCTTGCAGCACTATTTTTAAGAACAGTATTTACAGTGGGCATCCTTGTCTTATCCCAGATCTTAGAGGAAAGGCTTTCAGCTTTTTCTCACTCGATATGATAATAACTGTGGGTCTGTTGTATATGCCTTTTATTATGTTGGGGTATGTTCTTTCTATACCCAATTTTTTCATGGTTTTTATTATGAAAAGATGTTGAATTTTATCAAATGATTTTTTTCAGCATCAACTGAAATGCTCATACAGTTTTTATCCTTCATTATGTTGATATGATGTATCACATTGATTGATTTGTGTATGTTGAACTATACTTGCATTCCAGGGATCAATCCAACTTCATCATGATAAATAATCTTTCTAACATATTATTAAATTGTCTTGGCTTGTATTTTATTGTGTATTTTTGCATCAATATTCATCAGGGATATTGGCCTACAGTTTTCTTTTTATTTCTGTCCCTTTGTTTCTGATATCAGGGTAATAACTTGCCTTGTAGAATGACTTTAGAAGTATTCCTTCTCTATTTTTTGTAATAGTTTGAGTAGGACTGGTATTGATTCTTCTTTAAATGTTTGGTAGAATTCAGCAGTGATGTCATCAGGTCCCGAGATTTTCTTCAGTGGGAGACATTTATTATGGCTTTGATCTTGTTCTTTATTTGTCTGCTTACATTTTGGACTTTCCTGGGTCAATCATAGCAGATTGTTGATATTTCTTCTAGATTTTCTAATGTATTGGCATATAGTTGCTCATAGTAGCCAATAATGATCCTTTTAATTTCTATAGTAAAAGTTGTAAAGTCTGCTTTTTCATTTCTAATTTATTTATATCTTCTCTCTTTCATTCTTAGTTGTCTAGCTAAAGTTTTATCAATTTTGTTTAACTTTTCAAAAAAAAGTAGCTTCATTGATCTTTGTTTATTTGTTTTTTAATTTCAATTTCATTTAGTTCTGCTCTGAACTTTATTATTTCATCTCTTCTCCTAATTTCAGATTTGGTTTCCTACTGCTTTTCTAGTTTTTCAAGATGCAACATTAAATGTACATTTGAAGTTTTTTTTTTTTTTCTATTTTTTTATTATACTTTAAGTTCTGGGGTACATGTGCTGCTCGTGCAGGATTGTTACATAGGTATACACATGCCATGGTGGTTTGCTGCATCCATCCCCCTGTCATCTACGTTAGGTATTTCTCCTAATATTATCCCTCCCCAATCCCCAGACCCCCTGCTATCCCTCCACTAGCCCTGCCCTCAACCAGTCCCCAGTGTGTGATGTTCCCCTCCCTGTGTCTATGCATTCTCATTGTTCAACACCCACTTATGATTGAGAACATGTGGTGTTTGGTTTTCTGTTCTTGTGTCAGTTTGCTGAGAATGATGGTTTCCAGCTTCATCTATGTCCCGGCAAAAAAACATGAAATCATCAATTTTCATGGCTGCATAGTATTCCATGGTGTATATGTGCCAAATTTTCTTTATCCGGTCTATTGATGATGGGCATTTTGGTTGGTTCCAAGTCTTTGCTATTGTAAACAGTGACACAATGAACATACGTGTGCATGTGTCTTTATAATATAATGATTATAATCCTTTTGGTATATACCCAGTAATGGGATGGCTGGGTCAAATGGTAATTCTCTTTCTAGATTGCCACACTGTGTCCCACAATGGTTGAACTAATTTATACTCCCACCAACAGTGTAAAAGTGTTCCTATTTCACCACATCCTCTCCAGCATCTGTTGTCTCCTGATTTTTTTAATGATTGCCATTCTAAATGGCGTGAGATGGTACCTCAGTGTGGTTTTGATTTGCATTTCTCTAATGGCCAGTGATGAGCTTTTTTTCATATGTTTGTTGGCTGCATAAATGTCTTCTTTTGCCTCTGCCCACTTTTTGATGGGGTTGTTTGTTCTTTTTCTTGTAAATTTGTTTGAGTTTTTTGTAGATTCTGGATATTAGCCCTTTGTCAGTTGCGGAGATTGCAAAATTTTTTTCCCATTCTGTTGGTTGCTGGTTCACTCTATTGATAGTTTCTTTTGCTGTGCTGAAGTTCTTAAATTTAATTAGATCCCTTTTATTGCCATTGCTTTTGGTGTTCTAGTCATGAAGTCCTTACTTATGCCTATGTCCTGAATGGTATTGCCTAAGTTTCCTTCTAGGGTTTTTGTGGTGTTAGGTCTTATGTTTAAATCTTTAACCCATCTGGAGTTAATTTTAGTATAAAGTGTAAGGAACGGGTCCAGTTTCAGCTTTCTGCATATGTCTAGCTAGTTTTCCCAACACTATTTATTAAATAGGGAATCCTTTCCCCATTGCTTTTTTGTTTTTTCAGGTTTGTCAAAGATCAGATGATTGTAGATGTGTGATGTCACCTCCAAGGCCT